CATCGATCAGCTGCCTCTTGCACACCCCCTGCTGGGGATATGCCCGCAACCAAGGTACATGCCCTTGACCGGAATCGAACCTGGGACCCCTCAGTCCCCAAGCCGACACTCTATTCATTGAGCCAAACCGGTCTCGGCTAATGTATCTAATGTATTAGGCAGTTCTAATAGCAATTTATGCTTTCAGATTATTTATTACTAGAGGCCCGGTGCATGAATTCCTGCACAGGTGGGGTCCCTTTGGGTGACCTGCAGGGATCTGGCCAAAGCCTGCAGTCTAACACCTCCTGCAGCTCCAACCTGCCACTCCTGCTCATTCCAGCACCACTGTGCCTACCGGGGGCTCGCACCCAATTAGTCCTGATGGGGAGAGGCTGGCACTGCAGCAGCAGTGCTCACCAGCCATGAGCCCATGTCTGGCGCCCTCCCAAGGGAAGTGGCCTGTGGGATTGGGCTGAAACTGGCTCTCCAACATCCCCTGAGGGGTCCTGGATTGCAAGAGGGTACAGGCCAGGCTGAGGGACCCCACCAGTGCACTATTGAGGCCAGGGAGGGATGCAGGAGGTTGGCCAGCCTGGGAAGGACCACAGGAGGGCTTTAGTATTAATCTAAAAATCTTCAATTAGTTTGTTCTTTTTGTTTTTAGTGTCAGTATTAACTCAAGGATTTTAACCTATGTTCAATAACAAGTTCTCTTCATGTCACAAAATAGAGAAGTTCAAAACAATATAATTACTACTAATACACTATTGGTATTCAATAAGGGCAATGCATGAACAAAGTGAGAATTTCAATAAAGAGATAGAAAATATTTAAAAGTCCCAAACATAAATCACAAAACTGAAGAATACATAATTCAACTGAAAATTTCACTAAAGGTATTCAACAGTAGACTACAACACTGGAAAAAAATAATAAGGCAAAGCAGCAGAATTCATCCAGAGGGGGGTAAAAAAGAAAAACAAAAAAACAATCAAAATAGGAGTGAAGACAGCTTAAGGATTTATAGACATGAGGACCAGTATATATATGAGAGAGAACCTAGAAGAGATAAAATGGCAGAAAACTAACTTAAGAAATAATAGCTGAAAAATATCTAGAGTCAAACATGCCAAAACTTCTGAGATGCAGCCAAAGCAGTTCTAAAAGAAAGCTTTATAAAAATAAATACCTACATTTGGGTGGAATACCTCAACCTAACTTTATAACTTAAGGAACATGATAAGGAGAAAAAAACTAAGCCCAAAATTAGCAAAAGAGGAAATAGCAATGATTAGAGTGGAACTAAATGCAATAGGGACCAAAAAGACAACAGAAAAGATAAGTGCAATAGAGATTTTAAAAATTGCATTTATTGGGGCGACATTGGTTCACAAAACCATAAAGCTTTCAAGCGTACAACTCAACACAACGCCTGCACACTGCATCATGCACCCATCACCCAAAGCAGTGTCTTTCCATCCCCATTTGTACCCCATTTGCCCACCTCAATAGAAACAAATAGTCAAACCGTTAGCTACACTTACCAAGGAAAACAGAGGGAGAACTCAAAGATATAGAATTATAAATGTAAAAGAAGACTTTGCAACTGATACCACATGAATACAAAGGATCATAAAGAATATCATGAACAATTATACACTAATAAATTGGACAACCTAGAAGAAATAGATAATTTCCTAGAACCATAAAACTTACTGAGTCATGAAGAAATAGAAAAATCTCAACAGAACAATTAATAGTAAATACATGATATCAGTAATCAATATCCCCATATGAAAAGCAACCTGAGACACCCAGAGAGCATTACGCTAAGTAAAATAAGCCAGTTAGAGAAAGACAAGTATGATATGATTTCATTCATATGTGGAATCTAATGAACAAAATGAAGTGACAAATAGAAACAGACTCACAGTTATCAGAGTGGGGGTGGAGTTGGGAGGGCTGGGTGAAAAAGGTGAAGGAATTAAGAAAACAAACAAACCAAAAACACAGACACAGATAACAATGATGATGATTACTAGAGGAAAGGTGGGGTGGGGGTTATAAGGAGAGATAAGGAGTCTTGGGGTAGTGATTACCTAATACAATATACAATATACAGATGATGTATTATAGAATTGTTCACCTAAAACCTATATAATTTTATTAACCAATGCCACCCCTAATAAATTCAATAAAAAAGAAATAATAATAATAATAATTTAAAAATAACTCACAAGGAAGAAAAGTCCTGGGCCAGATGGACCAAACATTTAAAGTTGAATTAATAGCAATCTTCCTTAAACTCTTCCAAAAAACTTGAAGAGGAGAGATCACTTCCAAATTTATTTTTCAAGTCCAGAATTAATCTGGTACCAAAACAAGGGACACTATAAAAATAGAAAACTGCCCTGACCGGTTTGGCTCAGTGGATAGAGCATTGGCCTGTAGACTGAAGGGTCCCAGTCAATTCCGAAAGGGTTCAATTCCGGTCAAGGGCATGTGCCTTGGTTGTGGGCACATCCACAGTAGGGGGTGTGCAGGAGGCAGCTCATCGATGTTTCTCTCTCATCGATGTTTCTAACTCTATCCCTTTCCCTTCCTCTCTGTAAAAAAAAAAATATATATATATATATATTTTTTTTAAATAGAAAACTACCAGCAAGTATCCCTGATGAATATAGGTATAAATATCCTCAATAAAATGTTAGCAAACCAAGTTCTATAGTGCATTCAAAGGAACATACACCATGATCAAGGGGGATATGTTCCAAGGATGTAAGTATGGTTCACCATACCAAATCAGTCACTATTCATCAGGAAAATGTCGATCAAAACCACAATGAGATATCACTTCACTCTTATTAGGATGTGTGTTATCTAAAAGCAAGAGGTAACAAGTGCTGGGGGGAAAAGAGAACCATGTATACTTTTGTTGGGGGGAATGTAATATAACAGTGACTATGGAAAATAGTATAGAGATTCCCTAAAAAAATTAAAAATAGAACTACCATATGATCTAGAAATGCCACTTCTGAGTATGTATCCAAGAAATTATCTCAAAAAGCTATCCGTGTTCATTGCAGCATTATTCACAATAACCAAAATGTGGGTATAACTTTAGTGTCATCAACAGGTGATGGGTAAAAAATATGTGGTAGTTGCATACACACACAGGAATACTACTCAACTTTCAAAAAGGAAATCCTGACAGTTGTGACAACATGGATTAACCTGGAAGTCATCCTAAATGAAATAAGCCAGACAGATACTGCATGCTATCACTTACATGTGGAATCAAGAACAAAAGACAGTCACACTCACAGAAGAAGAGTAGAAAAGTGGTTGTGAGAGGCTTGAGACCGGGGGAAATAGGAAGAGGCTTATAAAAGGATACAGTATTTCATTTATAAGTAAGGCCAGGGGATCTAATGTATAGCATAGTGACTATACTAGATAACATTGTACTATATATTTGAAATTTGCTAAGAAAGTATAACTTAAATGTTCTTTCCACAACAAAAAATAAATATAAAGAAGGTAAATATGTGAGCTGATGGATGTGTGAATTAGCTCAATGAAGAAATCCTTTCGCAATGTATACATTATGTCAAAGCATCACGCTGTACACTTTATGTATCTTACAATTTTGTCAATTATACCTCAGTAAAGCTGAACAAATACCTACTTAATGTAGTTTTGGCTAGTAGGTTGCTTTATCATGTTCTGTTTTTTTGGCTTCTTAACTCTGTCTGTTATTGCTTTTAGGTTATATTGACTTGAGCTGTGAAGTCACAATAGTGTATTTTATCCAAGAACTAGAAAGCACTCACATACCCCTCAGTAATAGAATGGTTAATTTGTGGCATATGATGAAAAATTAAACTCCATGAATAAAGCACAACATGTGCAACAACATGGATGGGTATTATAACATAATGTTGAACAGAAGCAAGGTATAAACAAGTTTATACTGTATAATTCCACTAGAGGCCTGGTGCATGAGATTTGTACACTGGAGTGGGGGGGTCTCTCAGCACGACCTGGGCCCACTCACAGTCTGGGACCCCTTGCTTCTTACCACTCGCCTGCTTGCTGCTCCTTAGTGCTTCTGTGGAGCCAGGAGAGGCTCCCGCCATCACCCCTGTGCTTGCCAGCCATGAGCTTGGCTTCTGGCTGAATGGCACTCCCCCTGTGGAAGCTCACACTGACCACCAGGGGGCAACTCCTACGTTGAGCGTTGCCTCCCGGTGGTCAGTGCATGTCATAGCGACCAGTCATTCTGGTCATTCTGCCATAATAGTCGCTTAGGCTTTTATTATATAGATATGCATATGTATGTAAGTATGCATAGATATAGTTTTGCCTAGTTTATACTGTATATACAATATATTTAATATTAGTATTTTAATATAGTATTTTTATATTAATAGGCAAAATTATATACACATATACACACACACACTGTATACAATAGGTATATAGTATCCTATATGTAGTATAAAAATAGGCAAAAATGTGTTTGTAGACATATATATATGTATAGATATATATGTGTGTGTGTATGTATATATGTGTGTATATATATATATATATATATATATATATATATATATATATATAATTGCTAAAAATAAACAGTACTAATCTCTTCTAATAGAAGTTGCTTTTGGGGGACAATGCCTGGAAGGAAGAATTAAAAGGAGATTCTGGGATGCAAGTATATGTTTTGTTTCTTCATATGGATGCCACTGTCTTGGGTATTTCATTTGTGAGCATTTGTAAGCTATGAAATTATGTTTATTTTCCTGTGTGTGTATTATTCCACAATAAAAAGTTTTAAAATTGTGTTTTAAAGTCAATTAAAGTAGTTCTTTTCTGATGTGATTATGTCACAGCTTAATAGCATTAGATGAGATGTTGTTAAAAACTAATTTGCTTGCAGACAGTCTGAATATGAGATTGGTATCATAGACAATGCTCTCCTTAGCCATGAACGTGATTCTTTGCTTTCTCAGGAGAACCTGTGCCTGTCAAGGGCTGGATCCAGACACCTGTGGTGCCTCTTTTTCTTTCGGTTGTTCCTGGAGCATGTACTACAATGGATGTAAGTTTGCCAGAAGCAAGATACCAAGAAAATTTAAGCTGCTTGGGGATGACCCAAAAGAGGTTTGTTTACTTCCTGATGTATAATCTCATTATCTTTCAAGCAGAATTGATGAGCACAGAAAAACAATATGGCATACTCCACCTCTAACAAAGAGTTTCATCGCAGAGATGAATCAACAAAATTTTTGCTAAGTTGTAATTACATTGTAATAATTTAAGTTAGCATAATAACCATGTTATATCAAAGTAATAGATAAAATAACATAAACTCTTCATACCTATTGCCTTTTATATTTATTTATGTCTCATGTAAATTCTAGAGTTTTAAACAGCAGTCATTTCAATATTAGAATTAAATGTTAACACTTCAATGTTAAAACTTTCATACATTGCACCTAAATAATAGAAGTCATGTTCATGACTGCCATGTTGAGAAAAGGCCATTTCTAGTTACATTTTCACACCATGAGATTTGATAATTTAGTTACTGTAATGAATGCATTCAAGTACCTAAAACATACTTCGATTTTAATATAAAAGTATAATTTAAATAAATGAACTTTGATTTCTTACTGAAGTCACTGATTTTTGTTTTTCCCAATAAAATACATTTCTCAATATATAACTTGTAGGTTTCTATCAAATTTTAAATTTTGGGTAGCATGCATTCTATAGTATGCTAAATAAGTAATCAGGTAACCTTAGTATATTTAGCATTTAGATACAACCAAGTTTTTAATTATTCTGTGCACCTTATAATTACCTTTCAAATTTTAAATGCAATTAAAGTAAACAATTATACTATGGATATTATAATATTGACTAGTGACCTGGTGCATGAAATTCATGCACAGAGGGTGTCCCGCAGCCCAGCTGCACCCTCTCCAATCTAGGACCCACAGGGATTGGGCCTAAACCAGCAGTCAGATATCCCTCTTGCAATTCAGGACTGCTGGCTCCTAACTGCTCACCTGCCTGCCTACCTGATTGCCCATAACCACTCTTCCTGCCAACCTGCTTGTCCCCAACTGCCCCCTACTAGCCTGATCACCCCCAATTGCTCCTCTGCTAGCCTGCTAACCCCTAACTGCTCCCTGCCAGCCTGCTCACTCCCAACTGCCCCCCTGCTAGTCTTCTAATAGAAGTTGCTTTTAGGGGACAATGCCTGGAAGCAAGAATTAAAAGGAGATTCTGGGGTGCACCCCCAACTGTACCTCCCCCCCCCCCCCCCAGCCAGCCTGATCGTCCCCAATTGCCCTGCTCTCCTGGCCTTATCACCCTTAACTGCCTCTACCCTTGGTCCCACCACCATGGCTTTGTCCAAAGGTCTGAAAGGTCTCCCGATCTAATTAGCATATTACCCTTTTATTAGTATAGATATGTCCTTTTAAATGAAAAATTTGTTACTTTATGACTACAACAGCAAGTGAAAGTTTAATAAAGTACAAAAACTTTTGAAATTAATGTAATTGTTTTCATAGGATCATTTTTTAAAAATATTTTTATTGATTTCAGATAGGAAGGGAAAGAGAGAGATAGCAACATCAATGATGAGAGACAATCATTGATAAGCTGCCTCCTGCACGCCCCCTACTGGGGATCAAGCCCGAAACCCAGGTTTGTGCCCTTGGCTGGAATCAAACCTGGGACCCATCAGTCCACAGGCCAACACCCTAACCACTGAGCCAAACCGACTAGGGCAACAGGATCATATTTTTAATAAATTATATTATCTAAATGTGTTATATGTCCTGTTTTCATAAGAAAAATTGAATATTAAATAAGCACAATGAAAATGAGCAATTTTGCATGCTGTCAGCATCTTTAATTTTCCGCACTAGAGAACTTTTTCACTGCTATTTCATAAGTGCTTATCACTCCAGCCAGGTTTCTGTAAACCAAACTGAAGGAATGGCTGGTAACATCCTCCCTTAGTGAGGTGGGGGCACTTCCTCAGAAGCCTCCTATCCTTCCAAATGCAAATAAGCACATCTCTGCCTGGTGGTTACATCTCCTAGGATTTTTAGAGAAATATCAATATGAAAAGAGAACTTCTAAGTACGAATAGAAAACCTGAGTATTCTCACCTACAGTTTTCAAAAGCATATTACTTTAAAAATCTATTATTTGGGTAGGTGAGTGTGGGTAACTGATCATTTCTTCTTTCAAATAAACTGCCAAGTTCTTCCTATACCTTCTAGTTGTGAAGATTTTATTCATATTTGAAGCATCAAGTAATTATTAGTTACGAGTAGCCCTGCACACGAATCCATGTGCAAGTAGCTGGATGCCGCTTGCCTCCGCTGGCCACCCACCCACCGCTGCTGGTAGCTCTTTGCTGATTGAAGCTCGCTGCCCCGCCCTCCTGTAGCTCTCCACCACTTGTAGATTGTTCGTGACGTTATAGCATAGTGGATAATTAGCATATTCCTCTCTTCTTATATAGGATTATGTGAAGAGATCCTTTCAAATTTCAAAATGCTATTTTCACAGACATTTAAAAGTACAGAGGTTAGAAATAGACAAATTAAAGCAAACAAACCCTTTTAATAGCCATCTTGCTTGGCAGCAGATTGGAGAGGGAGTAGAGAATGTGACCTCTTTAAGACAGTATATTCTTCTTTAAATGTGTCTTAGCCAGACCTACTGTAAATTATAAAGAGCATCTAAGTTCCCCAGGAGCAAAAGAATATTTGCATGCGAGTCAGTTCCTTAAAACCTCGGTGCTGGGCATCATAGGGAGCACTCGTCCAACTGCCCCAAATTAGGTTCCTCCGTGTTCATTCCGGAAGGCCTACTACAAGAAGTCTGTGAGAACTGGCAGATTTTGTCAACGAGCAAACACAGAGGAAGCAGGTGGCTAGGAAGAGAGGGGTGGAGTGGTTTATCCCAGAGGAAGTAGTCACCTTCTTAGAATGAAAATCAGGGGGGGGAAAGTCCATGCAATTTATTTTAGATCCAGTTTTAGAAGGGAATTAAAAGGGCTTTAGCAGGAGCATGCTGTCTCTACAAATTAAGTTTCCTCAGTGACTCAAGGGAGAACAGACCAGCTTAAGAAACTCATTCTAGTCTTTCAGTCAGAACCCTCACTGTGGGGAAGGAAAAGGAAAACAAAAAATAAAAAAAATAAAAAAGCACATATAGTAGTTTCATTCTCCTAACCCTTCTACCAGCTCAGTCTTCTGTTTATAAAATGCCAAATATCTGCATGCAAAGTAGAAAGTTTATTAATCTCTCAGAAGATTAATAGCATATACGAAACTTGGTAATATAAGGCCTATTCTTACTCTTAGAAATAGTCATATTAAGATACTTTATTTAGTAAGATGAATAGTATATAGTGATTTTGTATCTAAGATATGGGGTGGGGAATCTAACTGATAGTCTCACATACTGAGAGAATGGATTTAGAATTTAATATGTATTTATTATTTTATACAGGAAGAAAAACTGGAGTCTCATTTACAAAACCTGTCAACTCTTATGGCCCCAACATATAAGAAACTTGCTCCTGATGCATATAATAATCAAGTAAGTTTAAATAATTGACAACTGGGACCACTTAGTTATTATTGATGACCTATCTACCTACTTCCAAAAATATTTTTGAAGCAATGGTTTTGTGTGTGTGTTTTTTTAAAATTTTTTCTAAATTTTTTCTAATTGTTGAAGTCACTGCTGTGTTCTGTTTCTGATAAATGTAAAATATACCATTTTGCTCTTTTAACCTGTATATATGAGCTTTTGAGGCTCACAATATCTACTAATTGCGTTCTCGTCCAAATAATTTTGTCCCTATAAGCAGACTTTGGTGATTAATTAAAATGATGTGCCAAAACTGGTTTGGCTAAGTGGATAGAGTGTCAGACTGCAGACTGAAAGGTCCCAGGTTTGATTCCAGTCAAGGGCATGTACATTGGTTGCAGGCACATCCTCGGTGGAGGGTGTGCAGGAGGCAGCTAGTCGATGTTTCTTTCCCATCGACGCTTCTAACTCTCTATCCCTTTCCCTTCTTCTCTACAAAAAATCAATAAAATATATTTTAAAATAATTATAAATAAATAAAATGATGTTGCCCAAACTATAGGTTCAACCCACTTAACTGTTTTCTCAGAATGTCTACAGATATGAAGCTACTAGAGGCCTGATGCACGAAATTCATGCAAAGGCTTGGCCTCGCAGAGGCAGGCAGCTTGCCTCAGCCCTCACAACTGCAGTTTTGTCCAGAACATCATTCGGCTGTCTGGTCTAATTAGCATATTACTCTCTTATTACTATAGATGGGTGCACTACTTGCAAGTGTCCAGATATGCCAGATTTTGCCAGGTCCTTTTTATTTTGGTCTTGGCTCTATGAACCTATTGCATAAGTATGTTCTACACTGTACATATTTAGAAGGCTAGATTTTTCTCTTTTTTATTAAATTTATTTGGGTTATATTGGTTAATAAAATTTTGTTTCAAGCATATAATTCTACAATACATGTGTGTATTGTATTGTGTTTACCACCCCATTGTATTGTGTCTCCTTCCATCGTCATTTATTCCCCCTTTACCCTCTTCTACTTCTTCCCATCCATCCCCCTTCCCTCCAGCAATCACTCATACTCTGTGTCCATGAGTCTTTCTTTTTTACTTTGCTTAATCCCATCACCCTTCTCATCCAGGCCCAACACCCTCTCCTTTGATAGCTGTCAGTCTGTTTTCTGTATCTATGAGTCTGTCTCCACTTTGCTAGTTTATTTTGTTCATTAGATTTCATATATAAGTGAAATCAGATGATAACTTATCTTTCTCTAACTGGCTTATTTCACTAGCATAATACTCTCCAGGACTACGTTTTCTATAAAATATTTGTTCAGAAATACTCCTGAAGGAGGCAAAAGACTATACAGTTTTAATAATATCAACAACAAAATGTATTAAATAAATTTTGTTGTTGATACAAACCAGATACTGTGTTTAGTCACTGTGGACCTAAATATGAGCAGTGTAGGTTTTCTGTCTTTAAGGAACTTCCTCTCTGAATATGTATATAATAGCAATTACAGAATAATACAATAACTGATAGACTAGAAGATGCTCGAATTTCTGAAGATACAAAAAGGTTCTCCCTGAAAGTAGGATAGAGATGTAAGGTTACAAAATCCTTGGAGGCCTCATAAAGATTGTTGAACTTCATCATGTAGGTAAGAAAGCAACCATGTGGGTATGCTGTGTGTGTGTTGGGCGGTGGGAAGAGGGCAAAGTGATTTAATTTTTAAAAAGTTGCTTATTTTTTCATAGCTGCTATTAATCAAATTATTTTAGCTGGGGAAAGGGACAAGATAATAAAACATTGTTGTGCTTTTTACTCCTTTGACTCTCATTATAGATAGTTTCATACATACCTGATGTTCTAAGCATTTATATTCTAACCTATTACACTTCCTTTGGAGTATTTTATGCATCTCCTGAACCTGAAGTTCTCAAAATATGAAAGTAGTCAAAAGTGACTATATATAACTTCTGAGATGAGTTTCATTTATGTAGGAATAATTGTATAGGTGTACTAATCAGTGGGCATCAAGTTTCAGTTAGGCAAGGTGAATAAGCTGTAGAATCTGCTATATAACATTTATATCTGTAGTAAAAAAAAAAAAAGTATTGTACACTTAAAATTTGTTACGAGGGTAGATCTCATGTTAAGTGTTCTTACCACAATAAAATAAAATTTAACTGCATACATTTGTGCATTAAAATAAATCTAATGTCTCTATAAATTAATTCAATTAATGGCTGTGAATGGATAAGGTATTTTTATATATATGCATGATAGGTGCCATTAGTAATGTTCATCTATATGTCTTAACATGGCTTAGAGATCAAAAAGAGCCATGTGATCTTTCCACATACTGAATGGGAAGATGTTTTGAGGTATGGATGCTGTCAAATCCTATTATTTGATTTTTGCCTGCTTCCCTCAACTGGATATATTAACTTTATTTCTCATATCTGAATGTGCTTCCTGGCTTTATTCCCCGTTTTCATAGTTAAAGTCTTGTTGCTAAAGTTAAGCTTCATTGGGTCTTCAAAGCATTTCTTGATATTTTTATAGAGAGAGAGGAAGGAGGAAGGATAGATAGAAACATTGATGAGAGAGAAAGTTTATTGACTGGCTGTATAACCCCTACTGTGGACTGAGCCTGCAACCTGGGCATGTGCCTTGACTAGGAATTGAACCAGTGATCTTGTGGTTTCTAGGTCAATGCCACTGAGCCACACTAGCTGGGCTAGAGTCATGAGTTTCAATACACAAATGTACTTACGAACCTAGTAGTAAATAATATTCAAGCCATCAAAAACATCATGTTGTGAGTGCAGATTCTAGCCATGATGAATTCACAGGGACTGGATTTACTTTTATACATATACTAGAGGCCTGGTGCACAAAATTTGTGCATGCTGGGGGAGGGGTCCCTCAGCCCAGCCTTTACCCTCTCCAATCCAGGACCCCTTGGGGGATATCTGACTGCCTCTCACAATCCAGCACTGCTGGCTTCTGACTACTCATCTGTCTGCCTGCCTGCCTGATTGTCCCTAAGCACATCTGCCTGCCTGCCTGATCGCCCCTAACAGCTCCCCTTCTGGCCTGATCACCCCTATCTGCTCCCCTGTTGGCCTGATCATCCCTAACTGCCTCTGCCTCACCCTGCACCTGGGACCAAGCATTCACTCCTCCAGCCAGTCGCAGGCACTCGGGACCCAGGCTTCCCTCCCTCTGGCCAGCCACAGGCACTCTGGACCCAGCTGGCTTTGATTGGGCTGGCAGCAGCCACAGGAGACCATGGGCAGGCGGCTTTGCCCAGGCTACAGCCTCAGGTGCTGGTGCCCGGGTCTGTGGGGCGGATGGCTTGACCCTCTTCCAGGCCTCAGGCATTGGCACGAGGACTGCAGTGTGTGTGGCTTGTCCTCCTGGGCAGCAGGCACAGGTGCACCCACTGGCACCCAGGACCACGGGGCGGGTGGCCTGTCCCTCTCCCATGCCGCAAGCACAGGTGCAGCCGCTGGCACCCAAAACCATGTGGCGTGTGGCTTGTCCCTGTCCCCAGCCATGGCCTGGATGGTTCCCATTCCTCTTTTGCGAGCTCATTTGTGTCTGGCTGGCCCCCATTCCTCTCTCCCCACAGCCTTGAGTGTCTAAGCCATTATGGCATTATGGCATGAGGGCGTGATGACCATTTGCATATGAGCTCTGTATTATATAGGATATACACTGAGTGGCCAGATCATTATGCGTTCAGAGATCATAATAATCTGGCCACTCCGTGTGTGTGTGTGTGTGTGTGTGTGTGTGTGTGTGTGTGTGTGTGTGTAAGAGGCCCGGTGCACGAAATTCATGCACTGGAGGAGGGGAGGGTGTCCCTCAGCTCAACCTGCACCCCCTCCAATCTGGGACCCCTAGGGGGATGTCTGGATGCCTGTTTAAAAATAGGCAGACCTTTCTTTAATAATCAAGGACTGCTGGCTCCCAACTGCTCACCTGCCTATCTGATTACTCCTGACTGCTTCTGCCTGCCAGCCTTATCACCCCCTAACCACTCCCCTGATCATCCCCAACTGCCCTCCCCTGAAAGCCTGGTCACCTCCAATGCCCTCTCCTGCATATCCCCTCTTTATTAAACAGGGTTTTTCTTTAACATATTAGACAGTGTACCTGCCATGTCTTGACAAACCAGTAAAAATATAAACTCAAACTAAAAGTATCATAAAATAAACTCCTTAAACAGAAATTTCATGAGACTTGGAAAGATGATATCATGTGGGGTGTTTTTTTTTTTTTTCCTTTTTTCCTTCTTTTTCTTTTTCTTGATGTTGCATCTTTTGTCTTTTATTTTCTCCTTTTATTCCTTTTTTGTCCTCTCTTTCTCTTAACTTTTCCATTGGTAGAATTGTCAGTACTTGAATCTATCTTGCTTCCAGAAGACGACGAAGAGGGAAACACACTGTCATCTGAAGAAAAAGATGGTCTATGTTGGGATTGTTATGTTTCTGATTTTGCTCTTTTCCTGGTTTGATTGTCATTTCTTCCGGCCCCACATTTTCAGGGCTTATGCGTGGGCACTTCTTATTCATGTCTATAAAACCTCCCTGCCTTGGTGAAAACTGTAAGGAAAAAGGCCTTCCTGGGTGGCTCAAGCCCTTCCCAAGGTGCTGAGGAACCAGGGTAGGGAGCACCCACCATTGCCCTTGCAGAGCCAATCTCCAGACCTTGGGGTACTCTCCAGTAATGTAACTGCAATGTCCCTGTTTGCCAACAGAAATTAGTTGTAAGTTACTTCCGATGTCAAACCCAACCTCAGACATTTCCTTAGCAGTTTCTAAAGATTTTAAACAAAACCCATTTACCTCCCTAACATGGTCAGGAGTTTCTACCCAATGGAAGAGGTTTGCTGGGCAACATAGCCCAGCTACCCTCCCCCCTTCCCCCCAGTCTCCAATCACTCAGCTGGGGGCAAGGGAATTTCCAAGGCTATAGGTGTGTATTGGGGG